TGAACGAGAAGTTACTAACAAGGATAACAAGCTGCACTCATTTTTGAAAGATATATACGTTGATTCCAGAGATCCCGTGTCTTCCCTGAAGGTAATGTGTGCTTTAATTAAGTAGATAAAGAACATACTTTTTTGAGTACTTTGCCAGTGCAAAAATAAATGTCAGTGTAGTTGTAGCCGTAGCCCCGGAGTCTTTGCAGAGGTTAAGCTAATAAGCACAGTGGTCTAGGCAAGGCCTTGTTTCATTGGGTGATTCCTGGAATTCTAAGACTAGAGAAAGTATTGATTGAATGCTCCACTGTGCATTTTTTTTAATATTATTTCAGACTTTGCAGGACATGATTAAGGCATTTCTAGTGGTTAACATTTGTGTGACAAAAAACAACCACTAGTACCCTATTTTCTAGATTGAAATCATGTTCTTATTTCAGGATTTCTAATGTTGGGTTTGTGGGGTTTTTTTTTCATTTTTGAGGATGTATTCAGATCAGACATGTAAATTAAAATCAGATTATATTGAGAGTGGGAATTCATCTGATAAGTATTGCAAGTACATATAACAAGTTAGAATGCCAGGAACAAGTGCTTTACATGTATAGCCATGAACAAAACAGGCCTTGTCCTTCCTCTTATTGGGCTGTTAATACTGTGTGTGAGACACAGACATTAAACATATGATCTGCCATGCACCTGTAAATGCACAATTATTGACACTGTAAACTTTACCAACAGGGACTTACTTGAAATTGGTAGATGTGGATGAATACTTCTAAGGATTGAAGGATGAATTGGGATTTGTGAGGTCTGGAAAGTACTAAGTAGAAAGAAGAGTTTGATCAATGAGCAAGGAAGGCCAACCACAATTCAGGTTTTTTTTTTTTTTGCATTCTAAAATTATCTGTTATCTCTCTACAACAAGAAACATCTCAAGTAGTGTTTTTAGTATAATCTTTACAAGAGGGAGAAGTAAAATATGTGTTTGAAGCATGGAGATAGGAGAGAGTGATGCTTTTGGAAAACAGTCTCAGCATAAATATAACATGGACTAAAGGAATTTAGTGATCAAAGAAGGAGAAAGACTTAGGAGAGGGAGATGTATGCCAGGTTTAATCTGGTTTTAGGCATGGAGTTTGTGAGGGGGTAGAATTAGTAGGTTCAATTTTAGACATAGGAAATTTGAAGTGTATGGAGGTGCATCCAAGTTTTGGACCTGGGATCAGAAAAAATAAAAGGTCTTGGCTTGAGATCACATATTTGGAAGATATAATGTGTTGGCTGTGGTGAAAGGTAACATTCAAAAGACAACAGAGGCCCAGGTCCATAAGAATGTGAAGGAACTCCTGCAGGAAGAGATGGAAAACCAAGAAAGGCATAGCATAGAATCCAAGGGGGAAGAAAGTCACAGCTGTATAGATGTGGTCCACAGCATTAGCTATAGGGAAATACTGTGTGAAGTTCACATAAGGTCTTCAGAGTGACGCCATCTGAATTAAATGAATAGGAGATGATTAGTGAGTGATAGTAAATATTATTATCTCATAAACCTTTACTACAGGATAGGAAATTGCTCAAAATGGGTGTTGGTTTTGAGTTTTGGAGTTTTAAAGAAGCAATTACTATATAATTATGTCCAGCTTAATATATGTCAACTTAAAGATAGTGACTTAGTACAAGTTTGTTTTTTTATATTTTTTGTTGTTATTTGTTTGATTTGTTTCGCTTTTGGTTTTATGGTAACACAGGGTTTAGATTCACATTTTCTACTCAGGTACTCTATACTTGAGCTACTTTTTTTTTTGGCCGGTTGTGAGGCCTGAACTCTGGGCCTGGGCGCTGTCCCCTCAGCTCTTCAACTCAAGGCTAGTGCTTTACCACTTGAGCTACAGCTCCACTTCTGGCTTTTTCTGCTTATGTGGTGCTGAGGAATTGAACCTAGGCATGCAAGGCAAGTACTCTACCACTGAGCCACCTTCCCAACCCAGGCATAGACTTTAATATGTTAACTAAAAGGTAGCATGGGCAGGGTGAAGTTGCAAAGAAAAGGTAAAGGTTATAATTGGAATGAGTTAGGTCATGAAAATGTATTACCAGGAATTTGGCCCCCTGAACTCAATGTCAGCCTACAAATAACAGAACTGAGTTTTGAGGAAAGAGCGAGTAAAGATTTACTGTATGGATGACTGTCTCAGAGTCACAGTCCTACTGTTTGTGTTTGTTTGTTCATTTGGTACTTTTTGGTGCTGGGGATGAAACCCAGGGTCTTGTGCAAGTTAGGTAAGTTCTTTACCTCGGAGCTGCATCCCAGCAGCACAGTCCTACTTCTGAGGAACAATATTTGATATGTAAGAGAAACTCAAGAACTCAGCTTCAAGGTACTTGATGCAGTGCATGTCCCAGACCAGGCATTGGCCTCTTAACTCCATGTTTGCTGACACCACATCCCTGAAACTGTTATATCTTGGTTGATAGTCCTTCCCCCACAGGGAGAAGAGTATTTGGTTTCTTTGAGGAGAGGTAGGCATAATTATCACTCAGTCCTATCCCTCCTAGAATATAAGGTAGATAGAGGAGAAAATGGTTCAGAGCACAGCTCAGAAGTGGAAAGGATGTCCAGCTTTTAATCGGCCTTCCTTTAATTTGTAGGCCCCAATAAGACGTCAGTGTTCCTCAGTAAAAGCAACGTTAGTACCTATATGGAATATTCAACACAAAGTCAGGGATTAATCTTGGGAATGATGAATGTGTATTAAACTGTAGGAGCGATGGGTGACAGTGTTATCAGACACTTTGTACTCATATCCTGTTTTGTAGAATGGGAACTTCTTTGTACAACCACTTAAAGAATAAATTTTTTTTAAAGACAGAAAAACAAGTTGTTGAGGTTGTTGTTTTTGTCAGTTGTGGGCCTTGAACTCAGTGCCTAGGTGCTGTCCCTGAACTTCTTTTGCTCAAGGCTAGCACTCTACCCTTTGAGCCACAGTGCCACTTCTTTGTTTTCTTTATGATGGAATATTGGAAGTGCTTTCTCATATAAAACAGGAACTTTCAAATACTTTTAATTCTTTCAGGATGTTTGGAAGTGTTGAATATAAAATAAACTGGGCAAGAATGGACCTTACCAAGCTGTTAAGTGTCATCACAATTCTGCCCTGAAACAGGTGCAGTTTTAATCAAATTGATTCTTGTTTTAATATACAACTTTAACATACAATTTTTCTTTATCTGAAGTGCTTGGGATTGTTTTACATATTTGAATATTTGAATATGTATAAAGAGATTCTATGGGGATAGGACCAAAGTATAATGTGAAATTAATTTTTTTCATATATATCTTATCCATACAACTTGAAGGTAATTTTATCCAGTATTTTTAGTATATCTGCATTTTGACAGACTTAATACAGGATGTTGGGGACATCTTTTGGATGATGTTCCATAAAAGTTTGGTATTTTAGAGTAATTCAGATTTTTAGATTAGGTTGTTTAATCTTTATATGAAACTGTGGTAAATGAGTCATATGAATGTTGATAATTATTTTCTGGAACTACTGAAATTTCTTCCTGCTGATGAGCTATATTTATGAAAAGGAATGTGGTAAAAGTGTCCCTACCATATGGCTGGCTATAATGAGAAAATGCAGTATGTGCAGTATGCATTTGAAGGGAACTGCCTAGATAATAAGGTTTTTGTCTCGTACCCCTCACACTTTGTTTTGGATTCTAGGTAAAAAATGTTCAACCAAAGCCAGTGCCAAAGGAGTTCAGAATGCCGAAAGACCATCACTCGGAAATGAATGTCGCCAGCATTCCTAAAGGCAAAATTTCCATTGTAGAAGCACTGACACTTCTCAATAATCATAAACTTTATCCAGAAACGTGGACTGCTGAGAAAATAGCACAAGAATACTACTTAGAACTGAATGATGTAAATTCCCTTCTCAGATATTTTGTTACTTTTGAAGTCTTTTCTCCTGAAAATAAGAAAGCACTACAATCAAAGTAAGAACATCACAAAATGACTTTTTATAGCTCTATACTGTTTATCCCTTCTGTTCAGCCTACTAAGTTGTACCAGTCACAGTGTATCTCATGCTCCCAAGTCTGAGAAGACACTATTGAGTTCAGTTTCTAGGATTTGTTCCTAGGATATATTTTGTTATAAATGTTAATTTGATTTATGTACTAGTTCTGTGTATACATTAGCATGGCTAATCACATCTATAAAATTACTGTAAATTAAAGAGAATTTGTCATTGTAGGCATATGTATCAAATCAAATAGCCAGAATTCCACATTTAAAATTCAAAGGATTTCCTTCCACTTAAGGTGATGAATTACTTTGTTGTGGGGTTTTAAGATAAGAGCTTTCTTGACTCCTATACAAATGTAATGTAATGTTTTCTTGTTAGGGAAAGAGACCTTCGACAGTTATACAGAACAATATAATTTCCCAAATAAAGACAGTGAGGAGACTGGATAGAAAATATACTTGTGTGTGGGGTGTGGGGGAAGGGGTGCTGGGAAGGTGGCTCAGTGGTAGTGTGCTTGCCTTGCTTGCATGAGGCCCTGGGTTCAATTCCTCAGCACCACATAAGCAGAAAAGGCCTGAAGTGATGCTGTGGCTCAAGTGGTAGAGCACTAGCCTTGAGCTGAAGAGCTGAGGGACAGTGCCCAGGCCCCACAACCGACAAAAAAAAAAAGAAAAAAATACATTTTTTGTTACTACTTGGGAATCAGAATTAACAAGGATTTCTTTTACTTTGAATTGGTTATGAATATGGAATAACATTTTAAAGTTAAACTGGTGCTTATAAAATAAAAGGAATCTCTGATAAAGATAAATTCAAAAGTGATGAAAGAAGCTGTAAGTACTGGACACATAAAAATAACTTTTTCAGCTGGGCATTGGTGGCTCACTCCTGTAACAGTAGCTACTCAGGAGGATCAAGGTTCAAAACAGTCCAGGCATGAAAATATGTGAGACTCCTATCTCCAGTTAAAACCAGCAAAAACTAGAAGTGGAGTTATATCTGTATAATAATACTAGCCTTAAGTGAATAAGCTAAGAGAGAATGCCTAGCCCTGAGTTGAAGTCCCACTCAAGCACCAAAAAGAGAAAAACAAAAACACAAAATACCCCAGGATAAGTGAAATTGAGTGGATGATCAAATAATATATTTTCTGATTTTCATGCTAGTTAGAAGAAAGGCAAGTAAAGGCTTAAAATACCTTTGGAAGAGAACTGGGAAATTACAGAGCTTCATTCACTTAAACCTCGGAGCCCAGTATAAACCCGTGCTGGGACCTTGAGTTAGACTATATGAAGTTAGCTCAGTGTATTACTAACTAAAATCATGGCTAGGTTGTGCAACCTCTTTGGGACTGAATTTCTAAAAAATGAACATAATGCTCTTGCCTAAGGGCAATATTACTGTGAAAGTAAATATTAAAGAACTGCAGAGGACCACAAAAATACGAATTTTTTTGGACTGAGGAACACACATGACATTAATTTCTATAATAAATAATAGGCCCATAATTTAGATTTCCAAAATGCTTGTGTATTTTTTCTATTTTGGCAAAAATAGGCATATTTCAAATGAGGAGAAGGCAGTTGGGAAATAGGACGGGGTGTTTTGAAGGAAGATAACATGGATGCTTCCCCAGATTCCTTGCACTGGTGTGGCAGATGCTGAAGAACTCACTCAGGATGGAATGGGGGGTTGGTAATAATGGTAAAAATAGAAAGTAGACGTGGCAAAGTATTAAGCTTCTTTTCAAATCTAGTGCCATATTTAAAAAGTGATACCTGTTTTATTTTTGAGTCAAAATTAACAATCTTTTAAGAAAACATGGAAGAAATTTAATCGTTACAAAGTTGGATTTGAGACTCATTTTCCTTTACGTGGTTGATACTTGAATCACCAATATATCTATTTTTCCTCTTTAGATCTACATTGGGTTGTCAGGCAGCTGCAAATATAGCTTCTATTACAAAATGAAGTACTTGCATATATTCCTCAGCCAGCTGTACTGCATTTTATTACATACAGGAGAGCAGTTGGATACTCGTGTCACAGTTTGTTGAGTTTAGATTCAGAAAATCTGGATTTAGATCTCAGCACAAGTGGTATGTCACCTTGGGATTCTTGTCTAGAAAATATCTAATCACTAACATTTTAAAAGCAATTGCTGTACTATACACTAATCTAGGTGCTTTACATATTTACTTGGTAAACATTTACCACAGTTATGAAGCTAAGTATATTTTTTACAGAAAACATTGGAGCACAGGGAGCTTCAGTAACTCCTCAGGTTATTTAGTATGTTTGAAAACTGGATTTGAACCCTGATAGGTGATTTTTCAGCTTCCTCTGCTCCAAACTGCTACAATGTGTTTTACTGTTCTGGAAGTTTTAAGAACTATGTGAGCTGGCAGGCAGGTTGTCTGCCAGGAGTACCCAATGTGGGTGTTTGAGAATTTCCTATGGAGCTCTGGGAAGATAGCTGAGCCCCTTATGTGGGAGCTTGGATTGACTGTTTTGAGCCATTTTTGTGAGAAGTTGGTTGTGTTAAGTCTGGGAGAATCCTAAAGAATTGGGGGGCCTAGGGGATCATAGATGCGATTCTTTAAAGACAGGTGCCTTTCTGGTGTGCCAGTCTCAGCACACTAGCAGACATTGTTTGGGTCTAATGTTTATTGTAAAAGATGAACTAGAGGTAGATGGATGATTTTGAAGGAATGAAACTGAGTGACAGATGAGGGGAGAAGACAAGTTTCTGAGCTAAGATTTAAGATGAGCAAAGCCAAGGACACAGAAGTTAATAGGCTAAACAGGAAAACTAGGATGAGGGCACTGAGAGAGGCAAAGCAGAACACAGGCTCTGATGGCAGAAAAGTGAGTGGATTTGACAGATGGATTGTCCAAACTGATACACTAGTTTGAAAGAGAGTACAGTCGCATTAAGACAATAGGCATTAAGTGGTCATCCTAACCACAAAAGGCACTATTGGAAGTCTTCCAGGTGATGTGGGAACTGGATAACCCAGTGCCAGACTGTTTTGCTTGGTCTGCAAATGCTCAGCATTGTATGTCCTCTTTTTGTATTTACTCAACGTCCCCAAAACATCAGTAACCCCAAGAAAAGGAGATAGGGTCCTGGTCAATTCATGGCATCATGGGGGAGCATCTATTTATATTTGGAGGAACTGGAGTGGCTCTAAGCTCCCTTGACTGGGGCTATGGTTAGATAACTTGTGTACAAGTTGAAAACCTAGGAAATGAGCAAGTATCAAGTACTAAAAGTATTCTGTAAACCTCAAAAAGCCATCACTCACTGCTTGATAACTATTTTACTTGGTCTAACAAAGTCATGAAACAGTTTGACAAAAGGGGTATTTAATCCTTTGTTTATCTGGATACTCTATTTTTTTTTCTGCTTTGGAATTAACAGGCCAAGACTTGAATTGTTAGTGAGGAGAAATGAAACATCAGAAACATTTGGTCTAAATTCATCTATCTATCGATGGATTGATCGATCGATCAATCTATAAACCCAATCATTTAAATAGAAAGAAAAATTCTGTGCATTCCCTATGCCATTTTTTTTTTCTAATGTGAGTGTTACAACAATAGAATTAGGAGTGGGTTCATCTGGACTCCAGCCATCTACAGTTGTAACTCTCATGACTGTCCCTGAATAAATCTGGTTTCTTTCCCCTGCATAATTTCAAGTATGCCATAAATACACGAGTGTAGCATAGACCTTTTTATAAACAAGACACTGGCATCAGGGATGTGCCTGTGTAGAAGCTCCTATCTTTCTGACTCAAAGGATCCACCTGGTTTAGCCACTATCTGAATGCAAGCTCAGTAAGTCCTACTAAATTTCACTCTGCAATCCTGGATCTGCCTCTTTGGTTGCAGGACATTTGGGACAGCCTTCAGACACTGAAACTGGGTTGTTCAAAAACAGTGAGATAGCCCAAAGACTAAGGATATGGGCAAGGAACAAGAAAAATATCAGGTTCCCCATTTAACTCCATGTGGGAAGGGCTACTGATGCATTGAATGCTTGTGGCCCACTGAGTGAGTATGGGTAGATTCCAGAATTACCGTTGAGTTTGGAACTGTTGATTGCAGAATGCTCCTTATGCCAGTGTAGAAAGGAAAGGCAGTGCCTGGCTGCAGCAGTGGGATGGCCATTGGGTAATTCAGTTGGCCACTGATGCCCCGTTGGTTGCAGGTAAGAGTGTTACACATTGTGAAAGACAGAATTTGAAAAAGATGTGGGTCTCACTAATCCTCTCTTAGTCTCTTCCCTGGCTGAGAAAATAGCAGTCCAAGATGCTAGAATCCTAACTTGTTGCTTTTTTCCAACAGAGGGAAAAAGCTGGAAGAGAAATAGAGATGAATAATCATCTTGAGGTCAGTACAGGATGTGATTGAATGCCCTTTTCCCCTACATGTGAGATTTGCTTTCCTTGTTCTTTTTTTTGTTGGTAGTGGGGCTTGAACTCTGGGCCTGGACGCTGTCCCTCAGCTCTTCAGCTCAAGGTGAGCGCTCTACCGCTTGAGCTACAGCGCTACTTCCGGTTTTCTGGTGGTTTATTGGAGATAGGAGTCTCACGGTCTCTCCTGCCCGGGCTGGCTTTGAACCGCGATCC